TTAAAGGATACTCCAATTGTCGATTGAGATTTACCCAAATTTATTAATGCGGCAATTAAAATATCTGCAACTGGAATTACATATAATATTTTTGCAACGAATATATTGAATTCTCGTTCTGCAGAACGTGAAACATTACCCATCCACTCTTTTGTTCATCTTGCACTTGCAGATATTAAGTTTTATCTTCTGTATCTTATACGTTTTTTTCAAGTTTTTATTACACACGACGTAAATATTTTAGCTTGGCTACATGATGACTTTGCAATTACAACCTCGTTCCTTTTTAATAATCGTACGCTGTCAGCAATCGAGATTCCCAACGAGTTTTACAAAAACCGAAGTACTAGAAAACGATGAGATGGTGGCACGGAGATATCGTTGTGGTTTGTAATCCGTCGTTTCCAGGACGGCGATTAGACGGATTAGCCGGAGGTCGCGCGGTCTCATCAGGGATCCGAAGGGGTTTCGGGACGCATCCGGGGATCAGGAGGTCACATGACGTGATGTCACGTTACTCGGTGGTCGCGAGCAGGTGTCTAGGTTCGCACGAGTGGAAACCAACCGAGCTGGAATCGCGGGGGCGTTCACTATCGCGAATCCAACCGCATAATGATAACGAGCGGCCGGCGGAATAACGAAAACGTTGTGCTCGTAATGGCGAGACAGCTATCCTTGATTATTTTCACTTCTACGAATGGAAATGATGCAATCGATTACCAACTGCACTTTGTGGCGAGAGACATAAAATGTAAAAGGTACTCAATTTATCACTACTTGAATTCATATCTGACAATTTTATTTTCTTAACAGAATCGTCATTATTTTTATTGAGACTGATAAATGATTTTGTATTTTATAATTTTATTTAATAAAGAAGATAATCGTGTACTTGAGTCACAGAAATAGATACAACATTCAATCGAGTGATTCATTTTGCTCATTTAAACGGTACACCTGGCGAACCTCCGGAAGCTAAATTGTTGTTCCTTAGACACCTGTGCCGTGACCTCGTGAGATCACGGCCACATGGTTTGGGGGGCTCATCACCCTTCAACGCTAAATTAGATATTACGATAACAAATGACGTTATTTAACCGGTGATGCGCCCTCCGAGTTAAATTTGAACAGGCAATATAATCCACGCCGCATCGTACCCTTATTTTCTACAGGAGCGTCACGCCAACTAGTAAATCACCGTCGCACCTGCAACCTTCTTCCAAACACACATTTACTATTATCTAACTTCTATTAAACGAGTTGGATAGAAATAAAAAATAGTCTCGAATTTGCAAAACTTGAAAATTGAAACTAAACAAAACTGAAAGCAAGATCGTTTGTTAATTGAATGACTAAGTAACATTATTAATATCGTTAATATTTAATAACTGATCTGGGCCGATCATATTTGATGATACCTAGCCACGAACACGCGAAGGTCAAAGGACCTGGTTGCCCCATTGCAGCGTACTAAACCTCCCGCGGAAACCGATCGATCTTTTGACCATTAATTGCCATCAACGACGAGAGAACGGCTGAGGTTGCAAAATTGATGAGATCGAATAGAAACAGTTTTAAGCCTCGGGCTGTCCTCATCAATGTTGCAACACCCTCCTGCGATATCGCTTGCCCGGCCGTCTAATTTACCTCATAATAATTACCAACGCATTAAACATTCGTAGGTAACATGAAAGTGTCAGCTGTCGATTGTCCCAGAGGCATTAGAACTACATGTGGCTCTTGCCTACCTACTTCACTAATACGATGCGATTCTATTATAAGTACATGATAGACATAGTTCAGTAGAGTTCGTGAAGATGAGAAAGTATTACCGTGCTTTCTGATAATAAAAGAAATGTATGATTCAAACTGCTGAGGAATAGTTTATTTCTTAAAGAAGTTAAATAGATTTTTTGTAAGATAAGAAATGATTACCATACATTTTGAATGAGATAATAAAATAAGTCTATGATTCAGAGTATTGAGAAATGAATGATTTCGCATTGTGCATGATGCATTTATAATAAAACTGCAACTGCAGAAAGTAGAATAACTGCAAAATAAAGAAAATCTCACAAGTGCATGCAAATTGCGGTAATTAAATGATAAAATAAATTGAAATCGGAAATGCTTAGTTTTAATTGATTGCCATAAATTCTTTATTTTGCAACAAGTATCTTTCTCGTTATGCCGCGAGACGAACACGCTTGTTCCTTGCGTTCGAAGATGCACACGAAGGGGGAGATCACGCACGATCTCGTGTGTCGTAAACCAAGAAGCGACATTATGGGCGTGATGAGGGGGTCGCGTGTCTCGCCCTTAATTTCATCCACGGTTCAGCATCGTTGCTCGTGTAGGAGGACACGGATTCTTCTTCTACCCTCGCACGAACCCACGTATTCGTGACGCCTGTTGTTTCACACAACTCGAGCAAAGTTATCTCATCAAGTCGTCACGAGGACGCCCCCTCCTTGTCGGGAAAAGACGCGATTAAACTTTTCTTAGTTTGCCTATTTACCACGGTTTCCGTTTCTCCGTTCCTCCTTCGTGTCAGCTATGTTCATTTACATTACTATCTACGTTTCTGCTTACTTCGTACGTGAAGTAATCATCCGCGATAAGATCGATCATTTTCTATGTTACATTTTTATTTATTCTATCAATTAATAAATCTTATTTCACCCGTCAGAAAGTAATAATTATAAAAATGTGAGGGAGGGGACATAAATATTAAAATAGGGACAGAAGATTCGTTGTTTTTTCTAAGGGATGCAAGATGATTGGGGAAAGATTAGAAGTCAGTTTATATCAGATTATAAATCGTGAGGAAATAATTTTATTGAATTTGTTCAAGGAGAGAATAACACATATAAAAATGTATCAATAGATCTCTTCAACAGCTTAACAATTTTTTATTTGGCGAGGTACGAAATAAGTACGCAGCCCTTCGATTCCCAGGCTGCCGGCAAATTGTGGTTCACCGCGCTGGCACGGCTCTTATCCGCGCTCCTCCAGGTAAAATCTTGGCCGCTAACTCGTCCCTATTATCGAACATGAAACAACAAGCCACGAAATTCCAAAGGAAGCGGTAGAAATATCAAGATGCGCCCGAACACGTTTCGGTTCTCAGCTACTAAACATTGTTTCACAAACTTTCAGCATACCATCAAGTTTTCTGTACTTATTTCCAGACACTTCTATACCTCCAGTAATTATTTGCAGAATGTAACTCACATAACTTTTATTGTTTTAACTTCAAAAACATCAAGTCAGAATATTTAGCCTTGAAGATAAGACGCGTAACGTTGTACGAAATTAAGATTAGTTTAGAAATATGCAGTATGAATAGAAAGTTTAATAGACGTTTTAAAAAGAATTAGCACAAATTATTCAAAACCGAAATACTTTAGCCAGAAGATAAAACGGATAACTAAGAACAATTTAAAGATATAATGAAAGATTAAAGATAGAAGTACCTAATGTGTGCAGAAAAAGTTTAATAACTCTATTGAAAAGAATTACCACAAAGTATTTAGGACGTGGCATACAAAATTAAAATACCTATTTCTTTAACCAAAGTATAAAACGCATAGCTAAGAGCTACAAAACTATGAGAACATTTTAAAAATGTAATGCAGTGTAAGTACCTATATGATCCTATCATGCATTATTATCCGAATAATAAGATTTGACGATAAATCGCAGTAGGTAGTATAATATTTCCATTATTATAAACGCATGTCGTTTCCGTGTATTGTTCGGTGACCGTATTTTATTAATATTTTACTCGGCCAGTCCTCCCTCTAACGATCAAATGCTCCTCCTATTTTTTCCTTCTCCAGAACAATATACCGCCCCCTGACTCCTGACCGGACCACGTTTACGTAGCGTTATTTCAATTGCAAATCGATACTGTGGAAAACACAGTTAAAGAGCAATACTACACTAGCCACGAATAGTCTTTTTTGAAGAATCCCAATATTCTCTGCAATTTATTTGTTGTGAAGTCGTTTCGATGAATTATGATCTTCAAATAAATTCACATGACTGATACGAATGCAGATTGTTTTTCCAAAATTTGACAAGCTTTTATCAACTAAACCGAGTATGGAAAACGCGGTGCAAAGAGAATTACCAGACGAAGAGGCGAATCAGATACTCGATGAAATCCTCGAGGAGGACAAGGATGACGACGAGGAACATGATACCGATGAATCTGAATGTACAGGACCTTGTGCCGAAGAGGAGGCCATGGTTAAGTTTAAATTATTTCTTACACCGCAGATTTCTATGCGAAATGAAAAATGATGAAGAATTTAGGGTATCAGATACTTTGTGCATTTTTGTACATCACACATTCAATCTTGCAAGTCTGCTCACAGAAATAAGTGAATAGAAAAATTTTATTAATCGAACTAGAATAAAACAATTTTTAGAAGAAACTTTGCAGCTGTAGAAATATCGGCGAGAACGGTTCGAGATTCGCGTTGCGCGTGTTGGAGGCGATGAGGAAGTTGCAGGACGATGACGACGCGTTGCTACCGACTTCCTCCGCGGAGGATATTGTCGATTATGTCAAGAAGAATTACCGCGACGATGGTGACCTTTACGCTCAGGTGCGAACCGTGCTGAAACAGGTCTGTTCCCAAGGGTTAGTTCCACGTCAAACGAAACGAAACAGCCGGTGCAGGCGAAAATCGTGTCTCGCGTGAGACACGATCGCGTTTCAAGGCAACTGCGAAACCGTTTATCTCGTTTGCAGACCGTGCATCTATCGACCAATTCCATTCGCAGTTCAGACCGTTAATTGTAATGTTTCCATCGACTCGTCCCACTTGATAAAAAGCCACCTCTTGTAGACACTTAATTGAAAAACGAAAAATCCATGCCTCTCCAACTCACCCTCCTTTTGCACGATGAAAGTAAAGAAAAGAAAATAAAAGAAAATCGTTTAAAAAAAATCATGCAACTCTGAATAAATCGTCGCAAAACTCGTGCAAAAGGAGAGGTGTATTCAATATTGGAATAAAATCAGATATTTTTATATTAGATTCGTGATGGAATTGTCGGAAGACAAGTACAACTTGATCGGCCCGTACGCCATTTCGGTGAATCAGTTTACCTGTGCGAATGATCGAAGGGACTGTTTGCTATCCGCTTCAATTAAAAAGCCTAAACGTCGTAGAAGAGACGACGATCACGGCGACTGTGGCTGCACGAACGGACGACCGAGACGAAGGCGAAGAGTTTCGACGAATCAATCGAGAAGGTCTGGAAGGCAACAAGAAGATCATGAAGATTGTAATTGTAGCGTGATATTGACTGACGAAGACGACTGCGGATGCGAAGGTGAAGTGGCAAGAGCTGCATCGAGAAGACAAACGTTGCAAGATATCCAAAGAAACGACAGGCCAGTGGATGAAGAACGACAAACAGCAACTATTCGGGAGCCCTTGGAAGCTACAAGAAGAAACAATGAAAATAGAACAACAGAAAATAATGGACATGAAATAGCCGAGCAAAGTGTGGACGATATTTATGCGGAATTGGGAAATAGAGTTTCGCCGAGATCTAACAGACGCGAGAAGGAACTCAAAGAGTGGATTAAACGTTGTCAAGAAGAATGCAAGCGAGCTAACCGGCGAAATAGGAATAATAATTGAAATTTTCGCTCGATTCGTTTTGAAGTGGAGCATTTCTTAAATATCTTTTTGAGATGAACGATTAATTTCTGCACATTTTTATCATGTATGGGATTATATAAATATTCGACTAAAAATTCGAATTTCGATTTTCTTTAATAAAATTAGTATTAAAAGGTAATTGAGCAACAAGAGTGTTACGCATTTTACATAATGTCTGCTTTTTATACACTGCTGGTAATAAATATAAATACAAAATAAAATACAGTTTTCTCTTTATTCGTTCCCTTCTGATTGTCAGTTCTTCCTCGTTTTATTCATAATTCTTCATATGAAAAAATTGCGTAATTTTATATCTGAAGAAAGCTGGAGAAACCTTCCGGTACAATCGGTAGGAATTAAGTATCCGGAATGCACCGCGAAAGAAAGTGCTTTGCTTATGTAAGACTTTACTCCGTGATCACCTTAAGAAAAGTATCTCAGAATGACAGAAGTATTTAAATACAATTTGCATACCTACCATATTCCTACCTGCGATTGTGTGTTTATGCGTGGGACGAATGGTTCTTCTCCTTGTGTTCCTCGATCGAAACTTACCGCATGCATTATTACGTTGTTTTCGAACGCTGTCCATGTATGCCACTTTTTTCAAATACTTATACACCAAATCAGTGACCGTCGACTTTTGATCTTGCCGTCGAAGCAGACCTTGTTCAGGATTTTTATTATTTCTTTTACGCGATGCGAATCTATTCATCATTTGTAGTTATTAAGTAAAAATTTCGAGTACGTCTCAAAGTAATATCTGTTCAGATTCCAATTTCTATTCACTGACGTAATTTTCTATCATTTTAAAATAACACATAATTATTAGAAAAAAATACGTCACTGGATAGAAACTGTGAATGTGAAGTCGATTTTTTAGTACATTCATTATATTTCTATAAAAAATATTCGAAATCAGACTATCTTTCTAGGCGACTAACTTCTTTTACCTGACTTCTTGCTCCTTCGGATTCCCTCTCTCACAATGAGATATTTTATTCAGGTTACGTCTACGATTGAATTTCATTTTTATTATTCGATTAAAAATATTGAAATAAGTATTTTTCGTTTATTTTCCGTGGATATTCGATACAGCGTTACTGTTTAATTTTATATACAATTATAAAGCACAAAGAGGGAACAAGAGAATATTTTGTGAGGTTTAGCAATTATCGGCATTGATCGGCATGAAACGCGGAAAATTTATTTATAACATTAAGCTATAGATTACAGACTATTCTATAAATATATATCACAAATCTCTCTGCTAATCATTCCTCCTGTTTATAATTATTTACCAGTTGATGGTACATTTGTACTCTGTACTACATTCCACTACATAGTTCTTAAAAGCTCTACGAAGCGTCGCTTGCATAATTTAATTAATTTATTAATCAGAATTTAGTATAAATATAAATACAAAATAAAATACAGTTTTCTCTTTATTCGTTCCCTTCTGATTGTCAGTTCTTCCTCGTTTTATTCATAATTCTTCATATGAAAAAATTGCGTAATTTTATATCTGAAGAAAGCTGGAGAAACCTTCCGGTACAATCGGTAGGAATTAAGTATCCGGAATGCACCGCGAAAGAAAGTGCTTTGCTTATGTAAGACTTTACTCCGTGATCACCTTAAGAAAAGTATCTCAGAATGACAGAAGTATTTAAATACAATTTGCATACCTACCATATTCCTACCTGCGATTGTGTGTTTATGCGTGGGACGAATGGTTCTTCTCCTTGTGTTCCTCGATCGAAACTTACCGCATGCATTATTACGTTGTTTTCGAACGCTGTCCATGTATGCCACTTTTTTCAAATACTTATACACCAAATCAGTGACCGTCGACTTTTGATCTTGCCGTCGAAGCAGACCTTGTTCAGGATTTTTATTATTTCTTTTACGCGATGCGAATCTATTCATCATTTGTAGTTATTAAGTAAAAATTTCGAGTACGTCTCAAAGTAATATCTGTTCAGATTCCAATTTCTATTCACTGACGTAATTTTCTATCATTTTAAAATAACACATAATTATTAGAAAAAAATACGTCACTGGATAGAAACTGTGAATGTGAAGTCGATTTTTTAGTACATTCATTATATTTCTATAAAAAATATTCGAAATCAGACTATCTTTCTAGGCGACTAACTTCTTTTACCTGACTTCTTGCTCCTTCGGATTCCCTCTCTCACAATGAGATATTTTATTCAGGTTACGTCTACGATTGAATTTCATTTTTATTATTCGATTAAAAATATTGAAATAAGTATTTTTCGTTTATTTTCCGTGGATATTCGATACAGCGTTACTGTTTAATTTTATATACAATTATAAAGCACAAAGAGGGAACAAG